GAGATAAAAAAAGAAGGGGTGGTGTGATCTAACTCATTTTTGTTTCATTATCGGTTGTCAAAGGTTTTGCCCTATGAGGTATGTAAAGAAATCACTTGTCATCAAGGAGAAAGTCAACAAGGAGAAACAATTACAAACCAGCATTTACTTGTCGAAAATGTGTGTACCAAATTGGGTATCCATTGATCATCTTGTGTAATTACCTCCTGCAGACTGATATGACAGAAGAAGAGCTGAACTCAACAGCATCTGTGTCTAATGCAAAATCCAAGTACAAAGTAAGTATCCCTCTTCATTGCCTTCCACCCTAGGGAAGAATTATACACCTTAGTAACCATACTGGCCAAACTGGAATAAGTAATGAGAATGACATGCCCAAATGATTGTTCGGTGCCCAAGTGAGAATTCCCAGCCAATGATGTAATCCCACAATTTGATATCAACTTCAAGTTATCACAAATTAGTAAAATTCTCTCTTTTCTTTTCACACCTTAATCTAATTCCAGAATTTGACACCAGTCTTGATTTTATTTTCAGCGATGGTCTGCCCGCAAGCTTTTGCAACATTCATTGGAGGATCAGATCTACAGAATCCTACGCAAGAGCCGCATCTTGACTAATAATTTGTAAGCGTTAACGTTTATATCTGCAAGGTGTTCACAAAACTCAATCACAGGAGCATTCTAAGCTGGAACGAGCACCAATACCCCTGAATCAGTTGTGCAACAAATATTTTCTTAAAGACCATTATCTCTGTACACAGAATTTAAGAGTGGTAAATTGATAAGGACAGGAAAGTACCAGGCTTAAATTTGGAAATTTATACACTCTTCCAGAATACAGCCACTGTAAATGTGATGTTCCTACACGTAGGGTCAGTTACCTACTTCTATTTATATTGACTTTACTTTTTTGGCTGTATTCTGGTTCTAATAATTTCATTGCTTGTGTCAAATTACAATGCACTTTTTCACTAGAACTCCTCAGAAATTCTCAAACCATTGCTTTAATCATATTTTCAGATCTCATTGCTTATTTACCGTACCTGGAAACCAGGCCTATGTGTATTTCTTGGATCAGCAGTGTCTGGCCACAGACCCAGTTGCATTGATGATATCGGAACTCAACAAGAATTTTCAGCCATTCAAGAGAGGTAAGTACTGCAAGTGGCTTGTTGCACATTTCCAGGTGCAAGTGTCGCAAACACTGTCACAGATATAAAATGTAAATTTGCCCTTTTCCTAAGATTACACTTGATAGGTGGCGCCACAGTATTGTAGCATTCATTTCTTGCCTTTCTCGTGCTTATTCATGGAGGCGTGCCTGCGTTCAATTTGACATTCAAGTGAGTTCTTGCATTTTACGCAGGCCTGGTCGAAGTTACTGGCCTGCCAAGCCGGTTACTGGGGGCAGCGGCATATCCAGTGTTTGGGATGGAGGGGGGCAAATTCAAAAGTGAATGCCGTTTCGGGCTTATTCAACATGATGTTTGGGGAGTAAAAAATATCGAATACCTTACTCACGGTCCCGACATCCTTGCTTTTATGTCGCAGTGTTGTTTTCTTAGGGTTTTGGTGCTAATGTTTAATAAATAGGAATTACTTTCCTACTCAACTATGAAGTCTCCATAGTTAAAAAAAAAAAGAAATCTGATGTGTGGGGGTAAATTGCCACTCTCCCCCCCCACTGGATATGCCACTGACTGGGGGAGGGTTTCCCACAATGCAAAACAGTGGCATTGATAATTTCGTTAAAGGCATTATAAAAGGTTCAGAAACGCATTGCTTGTAGTGGTAAATTGGCTCGAATCAAGTGAGTTCTGTGAAAGAGAGGTCGGAAATATACCCGTGGATGTCCATTGCTTTTGACAGTTAATAATTATAAAATAATACTAATTTATTCATTTATAAAGTGCAAATTTCTTATAGATGTGTTCTAATGCTGTACAATGAAGACATTAAGCGTGGAACAATGAATACATTTAAACATGGTTGAGCCGATTTCATACAAGTTCAAATTCATGTTGCAAACTTGGTGTCTGCATTACCTCTTGACCCAGTTGGGCCACCTTGAGTAAGCCTGTTTAAAACCTGTGACGACAACATGAGCAAATATGTGCAAACCCTGCTGACTTTATGTGACAGAACTTAAGAATGAAGAGGGTCCACACAGTGTATGCAGAGTTAAATCTTTGAACTTAGCCAGATCTCTACAGTCTTCAAAAGCCTCTTCCTCACCTGTTTCTTTCGTTCTCTTTTTGTTGAACTTGGAAAAAAGGTGACACCAAATCCCAGCCTACAACATGCCCTTCTCCGCCAGTACCCTCGGAACAGTTCCAGATATTCACGGACACAGTACCGTCTGTGGAGGATACGAAACAGCCGGATGACCTTAGGTCATTTCTTTGGGAACATGTCCAGCTGGTGCTTGATGGAAAGGGATTTGATGATGGCATTGGACGAGGGGGAGTACCACATTTTGAGGTCAGTGGAAATTATTAACACAAACAAAACATGTATATGTGATTTCACATTCTAACAATAATTGTTAGCACCAACCATGAAGGAAGAGATTCAGTGATATGTAATAGCAGAAATTTGCCCTATAAGATTCAACTGTGATGAAGTAAAAAATCTAAACATTACTGGAATTATGTTTGCCCTTGGTTCATGTATTACTCTCAGGTATATTCTTTTCAAATAAGAGGCTTTTGATTCCTTACAATGGCCCATGTCCTACTTTAAGTAAACTTGTGTACACATACCGGGTGCATAAACAATGTCCTTTTCCTTGAGGTGGCCCTATTTAGAGGTGCATCTGCAGTCCCTGGATGCTGTCTAGAGTGAATTTTTTGCACAATTAGCAGGAAGTATTGATTTATTTTTCCCGTACAAGCTAGCCTAATCCTTTTGCAATTTTCCAGGCTCTTGGCTTCAGCAAGTGGAAGTCCGTGTCTGACCGTCTCTACGAGTTCTTCATGACTGACTTGTCTGAGCCGAAGATCGCCAGCCATTTCAATGCCATGACCTCGGCCCTCGACCTGGACATGCGGTTCTCCGAAGCGTAAGTATGAATGGTTCCACCCAAGGGACTCACAGAATCTGTTGATAGCCATTGTAAGAACTTTTCCTGCATTCCGATGAATTTAGAGCTGAACATCACAACCACCATTATTTTGGTAGAGGATGCACTTTTACTTCAGTAGAAAGCATTTGATCTTGGCTCATTCAGCAACGTTCATTACAAAAATGCCAAGTACATCAGACAAAAGAGGGGCTAGAGTTATGGGTATTATAAGTATATATTTTGTCTTTCACTTTTAAGTATCATCAAAGCTGTTCTTGAATCTTCATTTGTGCACAAAGCATTAAAAAGAAAAAAATGGGTAGCATTGTGCCAAGGGATTACAGCCTGTGCTTGAACCAATACTGGATGTGGCTTTTGTTGTATTTGATGCTATTTTCTCCGAAGAATATTTCCAAGAATATTTGCCTTTATTCTGACAACAGGCGATGTAATAAAGTCTTGCCCATAGCAACCAGGACATACCAAGATGGGGCCCCATCACATTACACAAGCACTGTCCATGCTAGCAGGGTGAGTTTAATCTTTAAACATGTCCAACATGTCCATTTTTGTAGGCAATATTTTAAAATGGTAAATTTTTATGTTCCAATATAGGTGTGGTAATGTATAAAGCTTTTTTAAACTATAATGTTGTGAGGCTGGTACAGTCGGTGTGCTGTTAGCTGTCTAGCAGTGCAATATTGGCTCTCCAAATTTTTTGATTTGTACTTTGACCTTCTGGGATTTGTTCTCTTACTTGACATTGCAGCTAACCCAAGCCATGAAGGTGTTCTCCCAGCATGCCCGGGGGCCGGCCTTTGAGAAGTACGCCAACCAGCTACAGGCAGAGTGCCAGCTGTTTTGGCAGGGTGGACGCCAGCTCTGCGAGGTGGTCAGTCTGACTGGCCATCACTGCATCCACAAGGTATTGGCCAGCATCGTAGCCCAGCCCATCAAAAGTCTGTCACAAGTCATCCTGTCTGAAATGAAGTCTTGAGCTGTTTCAAATGAACTGTAACAAAAGCATTCCTTTGTCATTCTTCAATATGTTACTTGTGACTGGATTTGTGAATGGACTTGTACAGCCTTGACAGCAACACTAGTATGAATATTGATCAGATTTGGAAAATTGTTGTTCTGCCATATTGTTGTTGAACTTGAATTGGTTTGTGAAGACAAGTTCCCTGGTCCCCACAAAAGCACAGAGCCAAACCTGGTCAGAGTTTGTGGCTGAAATCACCCCCCCACACACACATACACACTCACAAACAGGCTAATACAGTGTAGATGCTTGATTTGCGTGCAGTCAAAGGATTATTATTTGGTATTATTCATTTATTTCCAGAAAGGATACCAAGGATTCCAAAAAAGGGCCCCACTGTAGCTCACAAGCCTGAAGAATCCTGTAGAGAGGAGAAAATGAGAAGTAATTACAGTTATAGAAGTGGGAGGAAAAGCCCAGAGGAATATTCTGGGTAAAAGCCACGGAATCAGGTAGAGACTGAAAGCCCAATCCACATGTGGACGGAGCACGGAATCAAACTCGGACCACAGAAGTGGAAGGCAAAGAAAGCAGCACTACGCTAACTTGACTCCCCGGTGTGTTTACAATTTCAGTGTCCTGCATTGGATACAATTCCCTCTTGAAAACTGACCTTAAAGAGTTTCAGAAAAATTTGTGAGTGACAGTTATAAGGACTTAAATTGTAAATCTGTGTATCCTCCAGGCACATCTTTTGCTGGACAGCCCAACTGACCCTGAAACAGAGGCTGTGATTCCCAGAATGCCCCACACCAACAACAACCGCACCCCCTGTGCCTGTAACTGTGGGCGAACTATCGGGCAGAGGGATGATCCATTCACGCTGAAGGTGAGACCAAATTGCTGCAAATGGTCTTAAGTATTTGACGGAGGGTGGCCAGAATGTCAAATCAGCTCCTCTGGCTCGACTCAATAAGCCTTTTGCAAGTTAAGCTGTTAAGTTGAATAAAATCTGGTACTTTTCTTTACTTAACATAACAATTTGAATTTTCCATACCGAAGACACTTGCTATATCTTGTGATTCAGGGCAAACTGTTGTTTTACATAACCCCATTGGAGTGCTTTGCTCTGCGCCGTGCTGACATTTTTCATTTGGTGGAAGCAAGTTAACCCCAAAGATGTTTAGAACCCTCAGGCTGCAAACCAAATATTGGAACAGTCTGGTGCCTTTTGTCAAGTGTGACTTTAAAGCATACTCCAGTCTAGTTTGTCGTCTGTTTTGAGCATGTCATGGTTGAAGACTTGGTTTTCTTAAATAACCCTATTGAAGAAGGCACTTGCTTTGTGCTGGGCTTACCTTTTGAGTCAGTGGGAGTAACTTGACCCCAAAGACGTTGCTAAAAGTAATTGCAAGGTACTAAAAACAACTTGATATTAAGAGAATGCCCTGCCTATATTTCAGACCGGACGTAAGGTCAATGTCTTTTGAGCATAGGAGGTAGTGACAAATTCAAAATCTAGACCAAGTGATAGCTCTCAAGATTGAAATCTGACCTCTCCCCCTCGCAGCTTGCCAATTATGACTTCTTCCAAGAGCTGGAGGACCGCTGCTGCAGCAAGCACAAACACCACACATTCCGGCTGTATGAGCCTAAGCGACGGGATTCCAAGGTGCTGCCGGCATTGGCTGGCCAGGACCAGGCAAAGGGTGCTGGGAAGGAGAGTGGAAAGGAGGATGGCCTGGGCAAAATGGCCACCGAAAAGCTGAAGAGCGGTAGGGGTTGTCATTCGAATATTTGTTTGATTGAATTGAGACAGAAGGCAGATGACATAGACACTTAGAATTGAAAAATTGGTTGATGTAGAAGTGTTCACGTGCAGGATTTGAACTGAATGGAGTCCATGATTGCGTCAAGGCTGGATTTTAGAAATCACCCAAAAATACCAATTGTCACGTCATCTTAACTTGTTTTGTTTTCAGATAACACGGCAAGTATTCCTAATACCTTCAGCCCTGCTCTTAGCCTTGGCCAATCTGGGGCCAGCGATCTGCTGTCCCATGATGCCCACAGTGGGTTGCCCGGCAACAGTGCAGCCAGCCTGCTGAGCATGGGCGATGGAGTGCATGACACCATCAGAGGTAAAAATCTCAAAAAGAGTGTGGACCACCCCTCTGTCACTGAATGCCCTGGCCAAGTCTTTCAGCCTGTAAAGAGTCCCCTTTGAACTCAAAGACCTCATAGTGGATAAGCTCTGTTTAACTAGTCTCTGTAGCAGTGAAAAAAGGGAAACCGTGAATACTTCCATGTGGCTGAAGTGACAGCTTAGTCACATTTGCCAAGCAACATCTGCTCTGAGTGGGAACAAGAGAGTAGAACAATGACAGATTTCGTTAGGAACTCAACTTGTATGGGTATGCAAGTTTATATGCCTTTGACACAGGACACGCTAAGCTAAGACAGATTTCTGTTTGATTGTACGGTCTTCACTCGTGTGTCAAGGCTGAGCACAGGTCCCATTGATAAAGTCAGTTTTTTCAGCAGCAATGGATTCAATCTTATAGACCTGCTAAGTAGCAATTCTTGCTTACAAAATTTATTTCCCAAGCCAAAAATGGCTATAAATAGAACCTGTCATGAGAATTCTACATCACAGAATGTTTTAATAGGTACAGGGTTTTTTCCTAAGCAAGTATCTTCTTCGCTTCACAGCCATAGGAAAAGTGCAGTGATGATATTCCCAGACTCATGTATTTGCAGAGTTCATTTCAGGATTCGTTATTTTTGAAGCCTCAGCCACAGTGCCAGAGATAGTCTCTGTGCCAAGAGTGTGTAGTAAAATTTCCCAGATTCAAGCAAGGATCTTAGATTTGCAGAGTTCATTTGGTAATTCTTCATCCAGCACACCGTTTGTCCCCTCTGCTCCCCCTTATTGCAGAGAAGCCTGTGTACTACCGTGAGTCCTCGACAGCCGATTACCTGCAGGGAATGATGTGTTCCACGTCCCCCCACGGCCTGCTACCACTGTTCTCCTCCTGGTCCCTGCTGTGCTTGGGCAAGGCTTCATTGTACAACCCAAGCAAAGGTTGGTGCAGCTTCCCTCTGGGGGTAGTTTGAGACAGTCTGTGCTCTGCAAGACCTCCTTGAGATTAGCTAACCAAGAATCCTTGCCCTTGATTTCTTGCTCTTGGAGCCTACTGATTATTCTGTGTTTCTGTCTCTCTTACCCAATTGAGACTGGGTCCTAGCTAAGTGTAATCTGCCTGTTAGTGTCTTTATTCTCTTTATTTGTGTTTCCATCAACTTTAAGGCTTTTCTATCTTTTCTATATTGAACATCCCCACACTCTATATTAATTGAAATGCTCCTTGGTGTTCATACAAGTATGTTAATTGATTTATGCTGATTTTACGATATATATAAAGTAGCTCACTTGTTTACACTATTGTATGTAATGTTTGTGGTTCTGATAGAAACAGGGAAATAAGTGCGATTTTGAGCTTGACTGAAAACTGAAATTTAATGAAGTTGTGTGTCCAAATATCCAATCTCAGGTCTTTAGCCCTGGTGATAATTGACGGAAACAGATTTAAATTACCATTGGGAGTCACTGCATCCTTTAATTTGTATATTGCTATTAGGACTGGAGCAGCAGCCTGGTTTCCTGCGGGACTGTAATTTTCTGGTTCCCTGGGACATTCCCATTCCCAAGGGAAGCGCCCTGGATCCTTCTTGGCCGGTGCTGAGTGACTCGGCTGGAGCGAGTAGCCGGAAAGGTGGGAAACACCGGGACAAGAGAGGGGCCAAAGGTGGGTAGCCATCGGCTGATGCCTTGTTGTTCATTCTGTGCTTTATGGTAGAATTTTGATATGTCTTTTGCAAGTTTAATTTTAATAAAATCTGGTACACTGAGTTATCTGTTTGCACATAAACATAACAAATTGAATTTCCCAGACTAAAGACTCTGTTGCTTTACCTTGTGATTCAGGGCAAGCTTTTTCATAGCGACCACAATCTCTGGAAAGGGCTGGTTCCTTTGTGCCCTTCTTATCTACTGAAAGCTGTGTCTTATTAGTGCAAGGCGTCTCTTATGGAACTAAGCAAAAGCTTGCCCTGAATCCCGAGGTATAGCAACAGTGTTTTTAGTATGGGGAATTCAAAGTGTTATGTTCACCTGAATTCTCAGTGTACCATTTTCAATTCAAATTTAACTCGCAAAAAGTTTATTAGGACCTTCCTGGCTTGGTTATCACCCAGCTAAATTTCTTCTGTGTTTGTCATTAAGCAAGTCTGTTCCAGTGCAAAATTGATAATTTGGGAACACTCCACTGAAAGATACTCTGAATTCCGAATATCAGCTGTACATGTAACTGAGAACAGCCTTTAAACAAGGAGTGTTTTAATGCTTTGTATTAAAATTGGCCAAAATTGTATTGTATTGCTTTGTATTAAAATTGGAAATAGTTCATTCTAGCCAGTATATTGAATGAAACACAGTCACATTTCCAAAATGACCAGAAATAAGAAAAAGGGTTTTTCACAAATTTATGATCTTGTCCTTAATCTTATGCTACTGTCATATTAATATTTCCCATTTCGGAAAAGGTAGGTTATCAGTCAGTCATGCTCCACTATGTGATTTTGTGATTTAATGTCATGTTGAATTCTAATGAGTGACCCATGCTTTGCATGTAACCTGTGGGTGGCATCCTGTACATGTCATTGTCACTAGTGACTAGTGGACATTGGAATCAATTCTGAGTGGAATTGCAGTTCTTGAATGGAATTACAATTGATACCGAAAATGTTAGATTCACCTAACACCACTAGCTAGAGATACAGACTCTTTCTGTAAGTTTGTATTATTTTAAAAACAGCTGTTTCCAGCTGGGACTATGAAATACAGTGGTGTGTCCAGTGGGGAGGAATCTTGCCACCCCCAAAAGATTTTTTTTTATCAAATATTAATGAAAATATTTTATGTATCAAATATTAGCACCAGAACCATAAGAAAACAATACCACAGAGTAAAATAACGTCAGAGCCACCACTAAGGCTTTTGATATTCTTCACCAGAACCAGGTGACGCGAAACAGGTTGACGTTGGAATGGGATTTGTCTTCAGGGACTACTGCTTACTGGGAAAGCTAGATTGCCTTCCTTGTCTTTTATTTGTTTCACCAGTTTTGGGGGTAGTTTTTGTCCATGGTTATAGGCTAGCCTAATTTTTCAAAGTTGGTGTTCCATTCCGACAATTGTTTTCACCGTACACTGCGAGTTACTTGCTTGGACTAATCAACTTTCTTGCCGGAACTATGCATTCTGGTCTGGAAAGTCGAGTCTATCCTATGATGTCATTTTTTTGCCAATTTGTCTGCTGCCCTCATCGACCGATTTCGGTAAATTTTTGCGAAAAGCCGAGGCGGAGACTGAAAAAAGCACACAGGAAATGCCAAGTTTTGCTGATTTAATGACATAAAAGAGGGGTTAAACCAACTTTTTGTTTATAAGACAGCTGGAAATTATCATATAACATCAATTTAACCCTACATGGGCTACCCCCTTTAAGGACTGTGCAGACCACACAACTGGTTTCCACTGGCAATGCTCCATATTCCCTGCATTTGGCCAAGTTGTAAATGCCCTGTGGGTTAAAGAGGCAATTAGTGCATACACATGACCCACACATGAGTGTAGAACTGCTGCACTGATTGCTTGCAATCTGTGAGCTGATCCTCATACAGATGTGGTTATCCATAATCTCTCTTAATCAGTGGCATGAATCTATCGGAACTGTTTCAGACTCCAACACTGACCCCAGCATCCGGGCCTACATCGGCAATGAGTACGAATGCCCACGGGGCCATCGCTTCATCTGCTCTGGCCCAGACAAGATCGTTAAAGCGACCGGCAGCGGGATCGTCAAGGACACGGGGACGAAATTGGTGACATCAGATATGCCACTGTACTTTCCCTGCCCATGCCGGTGAGTGTTCTGCAGTTTTACCCCCTTCCCACATAACAATGATAACACACGTAGCTGTGCTGCTTCAACTTGGGATGGGCCAATTTCATAGAGCTGCTTAAGCACAAAATTTGCTTAAGCATGAAAAAGCCTTGCTTTACAAATCAGGTTTCCAGCCAAAACTCCATGTGTTATATATTGGTTTGGAATGGTATTCACCTGTCTTTTGGTTAGCATGACAATCACATCAATTTTGAGCTGGTAACCTTTTTTTAAGCAAGGTTTTTGTGCTTAAGCAAATTCTGTGCTAAAGCAGCTCTATGAAGTTGGCCGCTGGTGAAAAAAGGTCCCTTTCATTTCCATTACTTGACATGCATTTGGGTTTCAAATGCTTGAGACTTTGAGAACACATCTGTGTATTGTATGGTTTATATGAAATTCCTATGAAAAAACATTGCCGTGTATGAACTGCACACAGTGTTTCAAGAGTCGAATAATTCAAATAAGACATTTGAACCATATTTTGGCATTCATGTAATAGGACTACCAAGCCTCCCCTGGGTCAGTTGATGAGGGCCTTCATTGTCACCCCTGATGTACCCCTCTACATCAAGCTGAACCCCCGTCTCAGGCCTGACCAGCACCCCTGCCCTATCTTTCACCCAGAGGTCAGCGAAGATGGAATCATACTCACCGGCAATAGCTTTTGGGTCCTGCGCTTTCCGTATCCTTCAAAAAAACAATTCTGGTCCCAGACTACGGAATGCAGTACCCCCGGTTTCATATCCCTGGACATTGTTTAGCTATTCAATGATCAGTTCAAAACACAATTTAAGTCTTGTTTCCTCCCACCATCCTTGTGGATGCAATGAAAAAAAATAAAAATAAAGCAAAAACTGCCAAAGACAAAACACCCCAAGAAAAAGAAAGAGAAACGAAGGTAAGTAAACAGGCAAAAAATTTTACCTTCCAAAGGTTTTTGGCATTGTCATAAAAGTTGAATCATCTGTGTTGATTGTTTGGTTCTACATGTACAATACATGTTGTCCATTTTAGTACCAGAATTTTAAAAATTTATAGGTGGGTGTCCATTAATTGTTGATCAACTTGTTTTCATCACTCATGATGAATAGATCATTAGTGTAGTGCATTTCTGCCCTTAACTGCCTGTCTTTTAGTTATGTCTATGTTGATGAAAATGGACCTGTCCGCACCCCAACAGACAACCAACCCCTCCCGTCTGCCAAGCTGCTGAGGGGCATGTACCTGACCACGTTGGAGAAACCTCCAGACAGCTGAAACTATCCCCTGTGAGCCCCACACACCTTCTCCTTCCATTGCTGAAAAAAACCCGATGATACTGAGATGTCATTCCCTGTGACGTCAGTTGCTTCCCAGCGGCGTGTCCTGATCCGGTAAGGTGACCACAATGCGCTAGTCATTGCAGTGAAGCTTCAATGAATACCTGCCAGAGTTTGGAAAATATCACAAAATTAAACTCACTTGTTGAACAACTCCATCTGGGGATTTTATTTTTGTTTAGTTTTTTGTGGGCGTGTGCAGTAGAATACTGCTGCCGATGTTGCACTAGTTAACCAAAATGGCAATGTGACCTCTGTTTGTTGAATCAAGGCAGCATTTTGAAGGGGTCATAGCTGTCAAGAACAACGAAAGGTACTACAGGCCATTGATGTTCATAATGAACAAGATTGAACTCCAATATGGGCGGTGATGAATCTTCTCATCCAAAGAAGTCCGCAACTGCTTCAGAGCTGCCTGCTTCCCTCTGAGCAACAAGCAGATCATTGGCTTACAGATGTAAACAAACACAGAATCGTCGTCTGATGTTGAATCTTCCCATCAGCAAAGGTTCAGAAACTGTCCACCACAGGATGAATGTATTTAGCAGAAACAGGCACATGTATACTTTACTCAGAAGTTCCAATATGCCAGTACCTGGCACCGCTAAACTACCGTTCTTGTTCACCACGTGTTTCAAACTGAAAACGAGCATGTTGTGTGGCGTTTCTCAACTGCTGTCTTCACAAGTTGATTGAAAGCCCTCAAAATTGCCTTTCTTGTCCTAGTGGGAATAGTTGCCTCATAGACGTAGTTTTGTTGAAATAAGCAATGACGAAAGTGTTTCAACGCAACAGCAACTCCAAGTTTGTATCCGCCTCGAGCATAAGCACCCCCCTCATTGGTTGAAAAAAGCCGTGTTGGTCTGGAGTATTGATTTTGTTGGTGGTGATGCCACTGCAACATCTGTGATTCCTATTTGTTTAACCAGCGATGCGCAAGGTAGTACCAAAGGAGCCTTCATTGCTAAGGAAATTGTGCTCTCTCTTGGTTCAGCTCAAGATGTAGGAAGGTCTACATGTAAATCCAAAATGACAGGCTTCTTAACAGGGCTGTCACAGCCAAACAGTGGGCCTCATCCCAACCAACAGACACAACTTCGAAGCTTGATGCCCAATCCTTTGGATTCATGTGCTTAAAACACTGTGGCACAAGGTTTCATCATCCAGCTGTGAACCAATCAGCATTCGGAATTCTTCTCCAGTGTTGTGGCTACATTTCAACAGCTACTATTTATGACATACACACGATCATAATCTACAACAAATTTGGCCATCTCCAGAGGATAAGGAAACTACCTTTGCCCAAGATTGTGTGATCGGGAGAGATTTTGATATTGTGTTGTTTGTGTAATGTAATCCTCAATTTCTCTGACAATCTAGTTGGCAGTATGTGAGAAGACTAAAAATTGGTGACAAATATTAAAAGTCACATTAATTTGCTTCAAGTACATGTACTTTAATAACCACATTACGCTATAATCATTGTTGCTAAGCAATACATGAAATCAGGGTAAATGTGGCATTGAGCTCTTACTGTGACATGTGGTGAACATAGTGTATCCTTGGTAAGATTTGAAGTTGAGGCCATGTTGGATGACAGTCCAGTCATAGCCACTGACCAATAGATGGCCGACTTTGCTGACAGTGAAATATGCACTCTTTTATAGTACCTTGCAGACGTGTAGTTTACCAAAGTGAAATCTGTGAAAGCCCAGGAGTGCCGTCAAGTATATATTTTCAAAAAGTGAGGTATATTTTTTTCCAAGTTCGTTGTTATGAAGTGTATTTTTTCCAAGTTCGTTTTTATGAAGAACATTTTTTTTTCAACTTCCTTTTTACATATATTTTTCCGAACCTTGTTTATTCAAGATATATATTCTCCAGTTCATTCCGGTAGGTTTGAAACAAATCATGTCTACAAGATATATTTTTCCAATTTCATTTGTAGGAAATATTTTTAAATTCGTTTTTATGAATTATATTTTTTTGAAATTTTTTTTTGTTAGAAATAAACCCAAACCTGAAAATGTATATCTTCTTGAATTTAAAAGTAAACATATCTCATAAAAATTATTAGTTACCAGAAATGGAACAATGGTTCTAGATATAGATCTCATTAGAACGAACTAGAGAATGTTGGAAACAAACTGTGGGAAATTTATCTTGTAAAAACAAAGTTAGAAAAAATATATCTCTCGAAATGAACTTCCAAAAATATCCTTCACTTTTTGAACATACATACTTAATGGCACTACAGGACTTTTGTAGAAATCAATCTTGAGCTCTAATATGTTCTTGTTACTGCATGTGGATCCCTGTAGAGGTGTAGGAGGGGGGATAATAGGGACCACGACCCCTCTCCAATGAAAAAGAGTTCAATTTTTGGGGGGGAATAATAAAAGAAAGTCATTTTTGGTCCACTGCATTTCTCTGTGTAAAAAGCCCCCAGATGTAGCTTCACCTCTGCAAACTTTTTGCCCCTCATCAGAAAGAACAAGTTTGCTCCTTCCCTGAGGATTTCAAAACTCATAAATTCAGGTTTGCCGACCTGGACTTTAAAGTGTGCTCTGGAGATATAGGTTAATGGCCATCTCCATATGTCAGAATCCATACTTGCCACTGTTGGTGTTGAAGGTGCTTCATCATCCCCGCATCATTGGGCCATCCCCAGAAACATTTTGATGCAAACATCTAATTCAGATATATTCACCATCTCTGCTGCACGGTCAAACCCATAGAGGACCTTACAGTTGCTGCAAATCATTGTATACGTGCAAAGCTAGCCACTCGTACAAAGTTGAAAAGAGATAGCATCATGAATTCAAGTGATCGTTATAACCACTTAACACTTTAATCAAGTGATCATGGAGTATTCAGTGATGGTTATTTTTTTCTGTCAGAGAAAGGAAATAAAACAGCTTGTGGAAGCATAAAACTGACAAGAGTGGGTGTGATATCTGTTTAGCCTTATTTTCCATCAGTCGTCAGTAGTTGAGAGTGCATCTGACTCATTCTTCACAGGTTGTATAAATAAAGCTTGTGCTGCCCGTGTATTTGTTTGTATTTTATTTTAGTTCTCTTTTTCCTCTTTGTAGAAATCAAGAGATAAAAAGTGTTACGGCAAAACTGGAAATTTACTGTGGAGTTCCTGGAAGCACCAAATAATACCCGTAACTTCACATTTATTATGTCTTTTCTGTGGAAACATGTTACATACTCTATCTGTAGAAACATGTAACATACAGTTGGGGTAGAAAGTTTATATACACTTGGTAGAAAAACAGTTTTCCTCAATTGTTTGCTGTTTGAAATAGTTTTGTCAATTTGTTTTTACGAGGTGAGACAAATTGTATCTTATTAACTTAATTTTCATAATGTGTACTTCAGTTGAAAATACTCAGAGACATTTATTAGGGTTCAAAATATTAATATTTCTGAAAAAACATTTTGTGAAAATTTACATCTACCCCATTCTTGTCGTTCAAAAACACTTCAAAAAGTGGTCCACTTCGACTATTTACATCTACCTCATTCTTCTCGTTCAAAAACACTTCAGAAAGTGGTCCACTTCGACTATGAGATGAGACAAAATAAAAGGAAAGTGGCACTAAATTTTAGGGTTGGAGTATGTAAAATCATGTTGATTGTTTGTAAAAATAAATATTAATCATGTACATGCATGTCTTTGGGTGTTTTTATTTGACGCATACACCATTTACATTAAGTAGAGACCCATCTTGTCTGTCCTCAGGAAAAGAAAAGTTGGTAAGAATGAGTGAAGATGTGAATTTTTGAGGAAAACTGTGTTTGTTTGATACCACGTGTATGTAACCTTTTGCCCCAACTGTACTGGAAATACTCCTAGATACCAGTGAGTTTTAACTTAACAATGTCGTATGTACGACATATCTTACAATAAATATTAAGTAAAGCTGGTTCATACTTTGAACTAAAGCAAAGATGAATGCTATTTTGTGACATCAGAGTAAATGTTCATGCAGCAAATTTGCAAAGTTGAGCACATTTCAATTTCTGCAAATTTCATTACAAACATTTTGTGATATCGAATTTGTTTAGCTGTTATATTAGCCTCAAGCACGAGCTATCCTTAGCATGGTTTATTTGGATAGATTGTCAATATTGAAAATTGAAAGTATGAAGTTGACAAACTAATTCCCTGAAACAACGTGGTTTTCAACTTCCAATATCTCAGGAAGCTAATGTCCACTGTACAGTCATCAAGTCATGCGTACTTTTACGCTATATTATTAGACAACTATATTCCACAGTAGTGGTGAGTTGTTACGAAAATAATTACGATAAGTGCACTGATAAGAATAATTTCACGAGGTAACCAATTTTCATTGTCACATAACTGAATTTGTAGAGGTCAGTATATCCCAAATTTCCCTTCGCAGGTGGCATTTGTAGCAGTGAATGATCCATACCCATTTGATATATGCGACTCCATCAAATATATGCAACTGCATCAATCATGACAGGCGCTATGTGCTCACACCTCAGTGTCTCTCTTCCTGACCTGCATTGGGGTTTCACCCCCAGACACATTTCTGCAAACAGGAACTGCTTAATGTGGAATCACCCTTCCCAAGAAGAATTCCTACTCAGAGTAGGTAACCTTGGTTGACCAGTTGTGCCTTGACATTCCCAGATTTTTGAGGACCACCTGCTGGCAGTTCATGCCACTGATTTTCATTTGAGCAGACAGTTGGTCAACAGTCCTAAAAGTCATTTGTACTGATTCACTTACTTTTACTCAGGATATATGTAGCCACACCGGGCAATAGATGGAGATACAGACAAAATGCTGGAGACGATAAAGCCAGCAAGATTGGCTCTAATGCACCGTGTGCAGGAACTGTAGAGCGTGCTGTATGGTCGGCTGACAAGAGCCTAGCAAGTTCCAAACATGTAGGATTCTATTGAAAGAGTACACAGTATGGATTGCAATGTATGAACCTCGGGCATGCTGTGTAAATTGACAAGCCAGTTGTACTGGCCCGGTAGAAAAGTGTTTGGTACGCCACTTTGTTAGAAAAAACAGGATACATTGAGGGGAGAAAACACAATATACATACATGTACATGTATGAATCATTTTTCTAACTTGCAGAATTCCTCTTTCAACATTTACTCTCTCCTGTATACCATTTTATCTGGTTCCCTTAGAGACAGATTTTATTGTAAATTTCTAAAATATGCTTCCCCGGTGGGCACACAGGGAAGCTTTTAAGAAGATTACCTTAGGACTTAATGTTTGTAAAGAGCAAAACCTCAATAATAACTCATTGCTAAGGGAGGCTCGGACCCAATCAGAAAGTGTTCTACCTTTGCTGTAATGCCATATTATTACATTTCTCCTGCCAACTCCCTTCCTCCCACATGTCACCTTTTCACCTCGGCTTCATGTTTTTTCTGTGGCAAATGTCCAGGTCTATGTATTTAAGAAAAACAAAAAATTCAATTTGGAGATATGGAGAACCTTCAGCAGAGGCAATAGCGTTGATAAACTGTGTGGGCATTGAGACAAGAGACCAGTGCTCTTCACAGCCTGTCAGCACATTTACCACGATCAATTCCTTTTCAGGAGTCTCCTGCTAAATAATTCAAAAGTGGAAATGATTCATGAAAAGTCTTCCAACCAGCCACTCAACTGAGCAGGCTTTCTTACAAGTAAGTGCTTAGCAATTATCTACTCTACATGTATGCTGACCCCACATGTCCAGGCTGCTTCCATCAAGCATTTTTACCATCTTATTGGTCAAGACAAAATTGCATCTGCTGTGTCATCATAAATATTGGTGCTAAAAAGTGGCAGCAAAATAAAGAAAGATGTAACCTCTGAAAAACGAGTTGGTGGCAGGCAGTGAATTAAATTGGAGGCTGGTATTTTTTTCAAGTGCTGTGCTTGCATCACAGTGATCGCAGGTGATGAGTTCTGTCCCAAGAAAAGGTCACCCACACCGTTGTGTCATTGTGGCAGTTAAGCAAATTGCCACAGCTGTTTCAGTGTCAGCAGGAAAAGTTAGAAACCCCAGTCACACAGCAAAAATGGAAGGGCGCATCAGTGGCGGCACTTTGTAAGATTTCAAGTGGGAAGCTCTTAATGGCCCTGACAGGCAGCAGTGATTTGTTTTCCAATTGGTTCTGGATCACAGCACCTGCTTGTTGGTCGGCCTTAATATTGATGTCCTCCGATTTCCAAGTTTTTTCTTCTCTTCCCGTTTCCTCTTTCTCCCCCTCTATTGTATGTTTGGAATAGAATAAGGTGGCAAAATTTAATATTTTCACTTCTTTGCATAACACATTTTTTTGGGCAGTGTGTAGTCTTTTTGTCTATAGTATGCCCAAGATAACATTCTCAATGCAAACGAGCAATCGCCAGTTCACAATAAAAATGAATACGTGTATGCTTAATCACAATTTCCCACCATCTGTAGTTAATGTACAAGTCCTCCCATGCTCTGGATGATGGCTTCTGTACAATTATCCCATGGAGGCAAATGTATTGAAATGGTGCTCAATTGATGGGCTCCTGCCACAGGACCTGTGTATGTTGAAAGAAGAGATGTGTGCTTATGTTATTAAATCGTGTCCATGTGTGACCATTATTTGTTCTGCAGATATTTGCCCTATAACTTCCAATGTCTGTCTGACTGGAGGGTCTTTGTTTTTGTTTCATATGCACTTGTGGTAGTACGGTAGCTTTCATTTCTTTGCATCAGTCTGTTCTTCATGTTGCTCTGTCTATAATGGCCACCAATGGCCACCAATATTGTCTTTGTCATTTCTCCGTTGAGCTTCAATTTACCATTGGCCACCAATTCAGTTGCCCTTTGGTCCACCTGTCATATCAGAGTTTCTGTATGTAGTCCATCAAACTTTGCCTGTTGGCAAATTTTCCATAGAAACTACATGTTGCTGTGGCCTCGTTCAGCATCTGTCTGTCATGCCAGTCTGAGCTGGCTGACACTTCTTCCCACAGTTACATGTATACTTATGGCCATGTACATGTACCTTTCATTGCTGCCTGTTCAATTGTAGCCATTTGGCCCTGCCAACTTTTCATGTGGCCATCACGCTATTGCTTCCTGACTTTGTTTTTCTGCTAGTGTGTTGTGGCAGTGGTGGTTGTCACCTGTCCATGGTGATCATCCATCTATCTTGGTCACCTGTCTCTTATAGCCACCTGTACATGTACATATTTTGTGTTAACCTGTTTAAGTGGTGCTGATAGTTTGCACCAAGCTGCTGTCCATTGTGAACAAGTCATTGTCTCCATATACCAGCTAATTAAGGTGGCCACCCAATTTTTGTTGTTACTTGGCTTTTGTGGCCACCACAGCCTTCTATCCAATTAGACAACATCACCATCATGGTCACTTGTCCATTGCTTCCACCTTCCAGCCAAGTTTGGCCATCAACTTTTTTTGTTACTTGTCTGTTACGGCCACTGTGGCCTTTTGTCAGTTGTGCCTACTTCACTCTGATGGTAACCACCTGTCCATCATGGTCCCTTGATCATTCTTGCCATCTGTCTGCCTTTGCCATCTGTCCCTTGTTATTTACATGTAGTTACCTGTCCATCGTGGCCAGTTGTCCATGGCCACCTGCCCCCTGTAGCCACCACTTCATTGTGATCTTCTGTCTGTAGTTGCCACCTGCCCATTATTCATTTCAGCCTTTCTGTTGTAAGAACTGGCCAGCAGGAGCTTGCATTCTCACTGTGTCATCTAAAATAAGTGATTTTTTGATACTGAAATTAACTTAGTGGTCAAGTATCCATGAATGCTTGACTGTATGTACATGTAAGTACATTAATTAGTAAAAGCCAAAGTTTTACATGTTCATGCATCATTAATGTGATACCTGAAGATGCACATAGGCACTGTCAAATCAAGCCTGCAGTCCTTGGAAAAAGT